GTTGACACATTCGTAAAATTACACAATCATAGAACGGTTTGGGTTGGAAGGCTCCTCTAAAGGTTATCTACTCCATCCTCCACTGAGCAGGGACATCTTCAACATTGGTTCTCATGTGTCATGCCCAGACTCTGATCAGTTTGTTCTCTTGTGGGTTGCTGTAAGTCAGCATCATGATCCTTCCCAGATGAGTCTTATCCCTCTGAAGGAGTGAAGATTTGCACAATTACCTGTGTTGTTCAATAAATGTTCATAAGAGTGGCAATATATTTTAAAAACCCAATCAGTAGCTGAAAATCAAGGACAAAAAGAGTACGCAGAGAAAGGAGCCAGGACAGAGTTTATTGTACAAGTTTAGTGCTGAGAATGTGTTGGTGGCCTGCCTAGCCTGGGCTCAGCAGGACTCAGCAAGACTTTCCTCACACAAAATTCTGTGTGGCAAGAAACAAGAATGGCAAGAACATCCTGACCACATGGCTTAGTTAAAAAATCTGCACTGCACCTTCTTTAGAGTCTCTTTCTCTGTTCTTATTTTCTGGATGGTGGAAAGGATTGAAGATCTACAACACAAGCATGTTGTCACTACAAATACCAAGTGTTATTAGCTATGAGTCTAACTCTGAACTCCCATGTTTGAAAGTCTGAGCTCTTTTGCTTTGTTTTTGTTTGTTTGGGTGGGGTTTTTTTGGGTTTTTTTTTTTTGTGGTTTTTGTTTGTTTGTTTTTTATTTATTTTCTCCCTCTCTTTGACATATCTACGTCCTTGTGCAAATTCGGTGGAGAACATAAAATACATTTGAAACCCAGGATTCATCCAACTGGAAACCAGCAGGACTGCAACTCATGTGAGATTTGGGAGATCCTATTTTCCAGAAAACAGACAAATATTCAGCAGAACAAAGCACATTTTTCCTATCAAAGTAAGGTAGCTTAGTCTATATGCCCGTGTGTGTATGTCACTTGAAATTATAGGTGAGCCAAATTACCCATAAATTATCTGTCTGGTCAGTGAACCACAGGGACTGGCATTTCCCAGATGCCATGAACATTTTTCTATTCACTTCACTTTCATTTTATTTAAAAAAAAAAACTACTTGACATTTAAAATTACTGAGATTATTGCAGATAAAAAAAATATACACTCAGATGTGAAGTCTTGTGCCTATTCTTGCTATTCGTATTAGCCTGTAAAAGGACGTGTTCTGATTGATATAAACTCTTATGACACACAGGAAAAACAAGGTATTAGAAATTGAACAAGGTGCAGTGTTGCTGATTGTTCACCAATTACTCTAATATATCAAGCAAGCACGTCTTCTTGATATAATACTTTTAAGCCTGATATAATTCTGCTGATATCCGTGTGAAATTTTTTATTTCCATGGCTGTTGGATCAGACCTTAATGAAATTGTAAAAGCTCCCCATTTGTTTAAGATATGCTCAGAAGCAAATCAAAGCAAGAGGCTTCCCTAAACCCTTTACAAAAGGCCTTAAAAGCAGCACAGATGAAGTCAAAACTCTGCACAGCCACTTCCCTTTGTGGTCTCTAATAATAATATATTTGTGAATAATCCGTAATTAAATGAGAAGAGCATAACATTAATTATTTCACTAGATTGTTAATCAGCAGGGTATTCTATGCCCCCCTCTTCCTAGTAGCTAACCTGTCAGGGTCTAATAATTGTTGCCATGAACGGGGTTGGGTTAAGGTCCCCAAGGAATGCCAATTCTCTTGTTCCATTAGTGAGAGCACATATAGATCATTTTCAGTACTAATCTAGGGCTAAAATCAATTATGTCTCTTGTATTTAAAAATTAAATTGACTCACCATGGGAGTAGGATAAAGGGAAAAAATACATTCCTCCTATTATGTGTAATTACAATTGTAAAACATTTTCCTTCGAAATGTAATTGCTGCCTATAGAGACTAAAGCTGGAGAGCTTAAACTGTTTAGCTGACACATTCAGTTGTCTTTCAGGTTTTTCCTTTGGATTATTTAACATGCTGAAACAGTCTTATAGACTTCTTGACTTTTAAAGGCTCTCAGAAACAGCTCAGGGTTTAAGAAAAACAAAAATAAGACTGTACCATGAATTAATTCTGCCATCTTATTAAAAATGTGATAAGAGTAGTTTTTTCTTGTATATATTCTTACTCTTTCAGGAAGAAAAATGATCAACTGCCCACAGCCTGAGTTTCCATTTTCCCAAATGCTGCATTGCTTGCTGCCTATATCTGGCTTTTCTTTTCATTATTGTGTTCTTTTGAGGCCTTCAAGAGTAGTTAATCAAAGCTATGCAATATGTATAACCTGCCACTCAGGGACAAGGCTTTGAAGGTCACCAGAGAGTGTTCCATTGCTCCTCTCCTGTGCTGGGCAGGAGCACAGTGAAGATCTACAGGATGGACATGTAAGGTGCTGCTCAGATACTCCAGTCTGGGGTCAGGCTGAAGTCCTACAACTTTTACAATCCTACCAATTTTAGATTTTCTGCAGTCTGTCTTGTTTGCCATTAGTAACTGGTCTGTGCATCCACCAGCTAAATATGCTGCAGAATAAGTTCTTTGTAGCATAAGGAACTGCTGATGAGGAAACTTGTCTTCCTGTTTACAAATATAGATAGATCTCTGAAAGAATCTTGAGTAGCAACAGTACAGAAATAATCTATATCCCTCACCATGCTAATCACGTCCTGATCTTATAAAAGATTTGCACAATACCTGCACCTTCCCTAAACCAGATGAAAACCAAGAATATGCTTTTGACGAGGTACCCCTATCTTCACGGACAATTTTCAAGCTCCCATTGTTTTTTGCCAGCTTTAGAACCCCTAGACCAGGAGGATGAATGGTTTTCAGGAGTATACTCAACAAATGTGTGTGTTTTACATTTTGTTTCTTATTGTATTATTCATCAGGCCTTGTTATATGCATATTATGGATATGAATGGCTTTCTATGCAGTTGCAAGGATGATGCTTTCTGGACAGCTTATTATTCATGTAGTTTATTAGCCATGTTTAAAAGTAACCTCTGACCTGTGGATTCTATAACGATTGATTAGTCATTTATTAAGACATCTAACAATCCATTATTCATCTTCCATAAATTATTTATAAATGTGTTTCTTATTTGATGCATGACTGCTATATTTAGAGTGCATAAATAAGTCAGGAAAAGCTAACTCCTGCAGTGTCCTAACATTGATAAAGATTGTATCAATAACCAAGTATCAATCCAATGGTAATTTTTGTTCAAATTAATATTTAGTATTAAAACAATAAAAATTCCACCTCTGTCCCTTGCAGGCCAAACAGACAACTTAATTTAAAGTGTTTTTTACAAATATAGAAGTGCATCTTTTCTATCACCCTGGGTGGAAATAAACACTAACCTTTGATTTGTGTGAAATTAATTCTCTGTTTTCCAGACACTGGCAAATTTTATTTCTTCACAATTTTTCTACACAGACATGGCAAGGTATTTACATTTTTCGTAGCTGTGTGAAAAGGGGGAACTGAATCACAATCATGCTGAAAATCCATGGGTGGTTTGACTTCAATCTGGTTTAATAAACTCAATTTTTTGAGGCTCATGAAGGATTAATGAATGTGAGATGGAAATGGTTGTGCTGGTGGGAAGCAAACAAACTTCTGGGCATTCATCTAATTTTTGTTCTGTCTTGTCCTGTCTTACCTTATTCTGATTCATCATGTAGTGCCTGCCTCAACTGACTTTATGTATTTTTCTGAGTTTTATCCACACCGTGTCAGGTAAAAAAATCTGGTAGTTTTTTTGTTAATTTCTGTTTGATAAAAGTATGCCTATTCCCATGTCCCTTTTCAGAGCAGAGTTAGTTAAAAATCCAAGAAGCAGTCTTTGCACTTGAAGAAAAAGTTGATTGGTACTGTTTTTTCTCAGGTCAGTATTTTTATTTTAACTATTTATTCAATTGAGGAAAGAGGTTGTGACCACTGCTCTTCCATAACATGGGACAAACCTTGAGAGATCCCAAAAGTAAAGATCAGAGCATTGACCTGCAAGTACATTTTGTGACAAGCCCACACCGAGAGTTGTGATCTAAATGGAACAGCTCAAAAAACTTGAGACAACTGGACCCAGTGCAATAACTTATTTCACCTTAGAATGAATTTACAAGAGGTATGAAGTGATTGGACAATGGGGAAATGGCTTCAAACAGACAGCAGGTTTAGACTGGATATCAGGAAGGAATTCTTCCCTGTGAGCGTGGTGAGGCCCTGGCTCTGGTTTCCCACAGAAGCTGTCCCATCCCTGGAAGTGTTCCAGGCCAGGTTGAGCAGGACTTGGAGCAACCTGGGATAGTGGAAGGTGTCCCTAAGCATGGCAGAGGGGTGGAATTAGATGGCTTCAAAGGTACCTTCCAACCCAAGCCTTTCTCTGATTTTATGAAACATTATTCTGAATTTTTTACAACAGCAAAGTGACAAAGGTCTTTCAGAGCCCAGGAGAAATCAGAAAGCATCATCATTGCTTGAAAAAAATCTACATTTTACACCAGGTAGATATTATAAGGCACAAAAGAGCTGCATTTTGTACTACATTCTTTTGCTGACTGTGCCCATTAATGAGATACAACTTCTTAAAAATCAGGAGGAACAGAGAAAAGCCCGAATATGAAAAGGCAGTGAAAAGAAAGGTATCCTCTCTTCCTTCACCCAGAGGTGGCTAGTCTGTTTGAAGTCTGACCCAGCTGGGCTTGCAAGACAATGGGGAATATTTCACTGCCTCCACATCCTCTGCAGATAATCATCACTCTCCATTACTGTCAATATGCAGGTGCCAAAATAGATATTACGCAAATATAAGCTTTAGAAGTGCAGGCAGACAGACAGCAAGAATACGACACTCTAAGTCAGTAGGAAGCCATTTTAGAACTTGCACAGTTTAAACAATTATTTTAAATCCCTTCTCGCTGCAACCAGTGAATAGAATAATGAAAGTGAAAGCATGAGTGTACCTGGGTGTCTTTCATGGATTACTTCCTTTCGCTCAGCCTCACCACAGAAATAAGAAGCAACATGTTCCAGTGACATCTGACTCCTTCGCTACCTGTAAATGCTTCCTCAGACAATGCGTTATTGTGCTTGTAACATCTTCCCTGTGGTTCCCACAGCAGCTTCAAAAACACTGCGGTTTGTTGACAAAACAAATGAGCCTGAGACACTGTGATGAAGGACACTCTTCCCCAGAGTTTTCATCCAGAAAGGATCACTGCAGTAGCCATAGACAAGCTGTTTAAAGGAGAGGCAAGATAAGAAAGCTGGGCAATTTGATCGGCTGTACACGGGGGCTCAGAATCTTATTTGACTGAAAAATATCTAATTGACCTTGAAGCTGAAACAACTTGTCAGGGGATGTGTTGCTTCAATTGCTCTCTGTCAGCTCCTCAGCTAGCTGTTTCTTCCTTTCAGATTCCATCTAAAAAGCCCCCAGGCTGGTGGAAGTGTGATAGCACTGGGCCAGGGTGAGAAGGACTTCATATTCAGACAGGAGAAAAATGTATTCACAGTATTTGCTTTAATTTTTTGCATTACCTTTTATGCAAAATCTAGTGACAGCTACTGAAACAAAAGATATGCAAAATCTGAAAAGGAAGATAAAAAGAAATCTCAAAAGAAATGCATTGGCAAAAGGTGGTCAGGCCTATCATGCATGCATTTAAATGAATAAGCAATTAAGACAAATACATTTATGATTATGAAACAATGCACAAAGCTAGGGGTAAGTTCAGTTAACCCTGCGACAGAAGCTGAGGCGTTTTTTACAATACAGTATACTGCTGTGTGCATTATCTTGATTTAATGAGATTTTTGTGAGTTTGTGTGTATATGACTGCTGGGTACTTCAGGTGTCTCCTTCCATCCTGGCAAAAGTAGGGATATTCATATATCACTTCTGTGGTCTGAGCAGACCACTGGCTTTAGCAGTCTGGAGCCCTTCTTACCCTGGCCCAAGATTTTAACACAGGAAACTCAAAAATTTCCAAGATGTTCTCTTCCATGGCATTTTTATCTTCACTGATACAACTCTTATTTTAATTTTTTTTTTTTTCCTGAAATTACGTATGGAGCTTCCTGCCAGAGATGTCATGTATACATCATTTCTTCTTCCTCGGCAGTGGTCTCAGGAAGACTGAGGAAGAATGTGTGACTGCTATCAGCAGCACCCCTAGGATATCTTCTCTAGACTAAACAACCTGAATCCCTTCAATCCCTATGCTTAGGTCATTTTTCCAGACCCCCTCTGACCTCCCTCCCTCCCTAATTATGTTTTCTGAATACCCAGGCCATGCTTTTCTTGAAGTGATATGTTCAAAACTGCTCAAGAACCTGCAGAAGATATCCTATCAATATTAATATGGTTTAATTTTGATCATTACAAAGTAGCCTTATGACATAAAGAATTAGTTAATCTACTGCAGAGAAGTTTCTTTTTCCTGCCCCTAAACCAAGGAAGCATTTCTTTCAACAGTTGAAATTAGTTTAACTTGAAGAAAAAAAAAATCAAGCCCATGCACTAAAGTATTTCTTCAAATGTACTTAAAGTTTTAAATGGTGTAACCTCAGAGTAAATTGTCAGATTTCCCCTAGTGAGAGTATGAAGAATGCAGTGGACCTAGAGAGCCAACTTTTAAATGCTTGAACAGATGTAAAGTGAGATTTACATTTAGCCACTGTTTCTGTGGTTTTTCAGTGATGTTGCAGAGCAGTAGAAAATATCTGGACGTTTCCGTGTACCAAAACAAATTTTCTTCCTTATCCCCCATCATTTGGTTTTGCCTGATATTTTTGCAAGCAACTCAGAGAGACAAAACTCATATTTAAGTTACTATATCTTAATTATTACCACATATCCTCTGAGCCACAATCCACTGTCTGAGCAAGTTGATCTAGTGGAATATGTCCCTGCTCATGACAGGGGAGTTGGAATGAGGTGATCTTTAATGTCCCTTTTAACCCAAGCCATTCTGTGATTCTGTGAATGTGATGATATTCTTAACTGCAGCAAATAAGTGCTAATTTGATTTGCCACGTATGGGAAGGAGTTAATCCCAGCTAAAAAACTCTAAATATACTGATGTTAAAGCCTGCATATAAGGTATAGACAATAAGTTTAAATTACAGAATGAGGGTCCCTTAAACTGAAGCAACTTTGTCAAAAGTCTGAGACTGAAGAAGATTCCATTTACTAAGTAATTCTTCCCCACCATTTTTGATTGTTCCAAGGAAACAGCTAAAAGATAACAGTAGACCAATTAGCAAATTAATTTTGGTAATAAAAGTGCTTTGGCATTAGTGGTTAGTCAAAATAACTCCCACTTAATGACATCATTGATGTGACTTGTCTTTGTATCAAATTCAGATACCATCAAAGGGAACATGGTCACCTACTTTTTTCTCATTAGGAAAATTGTCAGAGCACTATAATCTCTGAAAGCTAGTACAGTTTTCTAGACTAAACAGGGTGTCTACCTAATCCTTACATGATTGCTTTCCAAACAGAAATGAGGTAGGGACTGCATCTTATATAATGTTAAGAAAATTACTTTTGATGAGAGATAGTGCTTGTAGTGAAAGAACAAGAAAATTTTCTCCTCTTGAAAGTGGTTCAAGAGATTTCCTTTGGGGTGTCTAACCACCTATTGCCAGATGTGATGGGTTTTTTTTTAGGTTTCCCTCTTGAAAATTTGATTGGCAAGAAATGTCCAACAAGATATGTTTAATGACTACAAGTTTAAAGCTGTCTGATGGATTTTCAACCTTTAAAAATGCATAGAAATAAGAAGAACCACCCACCATTTCTGCCATGCCCTGCTCTAGTCTGGCAGCCAATGTCAGACCAGATCACAATTGCATTTAAGGAATATTCTTTCTTTCAAGGAGCTTTTATGGGGAACTTCAACACAATGTTAAATTGTTCATGGACTAATGTGACCACTATTTCAACACTGTACGTGTTTTATAAGAAACAAGCAACATGATCATTGTATTTCTGAAAAATCCCTCTCAGGAGCGTAGTTTTGCTGTTCCAGTAGTGGAGTAGAAACCAGTGCTGGCCATGGAGCATCACAGTTGCAGTGATGGGAGTCAGAGCTTCTACTGCAAGCCCACGGTCCTTTGAAGGTGTAACTGCACTGCAGTGGGAACACTTTGCCTCTGAAAGCCACAGAGACCCTCCCCTAGGAAAGGTCTGCTGAGATTGCTGTGTGTGAATTAAAGCGCAAAAGTTATACAAAGGGACCAAGAGACCTTAGAAATATGAGCAGGAAACAGTGAAAAGAGATTCAGCCTGGAAGAGTGGAAAAAACCAATCATCTAATGCCTCTGGAGAGAGGTGTGTAAAGAGGTAATCTGAAGCAGACATTTGGCAAATGGAAGATGTGATATTTAGGTAGCAACAGCGAAGGAAACCTGTGGGGTGACAATGAGCCATTTCTCTGGTAGTAAAACACAGGAAAAGGGAATAGCAGAGTGTGAATGTGCTTTTGGGGAGTCCTTCAAGGGAACATGACATCATGGCTCAGAGAGAAGGCACAGGTAGTGTCACTCAGCCATGCTGGAATTATAATGATCCAAAAGCATTGTCACAATAAAAAGAATAGGACAAATAGTTGTTTTAAAGAAATAATAAAAAAAAAAAAGCAGAAAGTGACTGGGGGAGAAGTGTCTGATCTGAAAATCAAGAAGCAAGAGGGGAATAATAATTGTCAGCCCAGCGTGGAAAGCTGTTGATACTGTGAAGGAAGGAGAATTATTAAAGATGATCTAGGGGGGCCAGGCAGGAAAAATAGAAGAAACTGGGCACACTCACAAAAAAAAAAATTAGGCTGAGTGAAGCAATTAACAGTTCTTAATAGAGAAGTCTATTAGACGAAGAAATGTTCTCCTAAGAGACACAGCTGTAAGCTCTTCAGTGCAGGCACCATGACTGCTTATATGTTTGCACTGCACCCAGCACAGTTGGTATCCTGATCTTTATTTGATCCTGTGGGTTCTGCAGCAATAGAAATAACAAACAGCAATAATTACACACTGTGGTACAGCCGTAGGAGACACGCGCTGAGGCTGAGCTCTCCTCTTAGCTGCACTCAGCTGAGGTCAATGGGATTGTTTGGGTACAGGCTGGTGGTGCTAAACAGGATAATTTGGCCTGGTTCGTCTGTAAAAATAGAATATGTGTGGTTTCTGCCCCAAAATCTGCCTAATTATTCTTTGCTGTAGAGCCATGGGCACTGTAGGCTGGACATTGTCCAGTTACACAATGGGGAATATTTCATGCCCAAAGAACTCATGTGGTAGGGCTCTCTGGTAGATGTGCAGAGCAGGGGCCTGGATTGCCAGCAAGTGTTTCTACAGAGCAATAACACTTCCTAGAAGCTGAAAAGCAGAAATTAGCTCCTTCAGTACTGAGAGGGTACTTTCTTCCCCATCACCTGCATTTCAAGTAAAATGTTGCTCAGTGTCTCATTCCTTCTCCAACAGACAGGAGGGAATTATGAGAGCAGACCCTGTGATAAGTCCTTTCACTCCTGCAGAAACAAGAATCCTAGAGACCAGGCAGACAAGGCACCCTGGCAGTGCAGTAGCTTGGGAAGAGTGGGTTGGAGACATTTCTGTGGTAGCTCACATGGAGATGATAGCCTTCACTGACAAGAACACTGTATTTTTATCTCTAAAGTGCTGCCTTGTTTTTCTCTGGATGCATTATGATTGTTATTATTATTATTATTACTCTTTTAATGGCTTAAAGCTAAGAGGAGTTTGGGCTTGTCAGAAAACTGAGCAATTGATGAAATAGCAGTTGATGACAGCAGTCCAATTCTAATAATTTCCTGTCTTACTTTGTTGGTATTGGGGTGTACTTTAGCAAAATGACTGCAATAAGTGATGCATTTTCTGTCAGCTTTATCCCTGACTCTTGTGCATCTGAGAAAGACCCAGCACTGGGTTTGGCAGATAAAGTGAAAAGCAAGTCAGGAACTACCATTATGAAATGCAGAAAGTCAATTTGAATGTCAAAAGGAAAGGCATGAGATGCAAGCTTTAAAGAGCTCCACTTTGAGAAAATGAGGGCATCA